CTTCCCAAATTCTTTGAGGACACATTGAGGTTTTCAGTGAGGTGAGTTGTTGGGTTCTTTTGTGTCTTCGCTAGTTTTCTGTTTTTGTTAGTTTAAAGGGAATGTAGAAAATACTGGTATGTCCTCAAATATAAAAAATCCCACATAAACATTCCAGCCAGGTTCTTGAAAGTCTACTAAATTGAAGTGATAATGCATTAGGCTTCAACGTATGTTCTCTTTGGAGTATAGCAGAACCTCCCTACTGTTTGGGATAAAGACTTGCCTGAAATAGTCATTAAAGAATCGAATTAATTATACTGGAAAAAAAATCAGTAATAGAAAAATTCTAAAAGCTCTCTGAGAAAGCAGAGGAGAAGAACGTAGATTAGGTATGAATAATATAGAAGGTAAAAATCAGAGCACCAACATTTGGCTGGTTGGTTTTCCAATAAAAGAGTCCTTTTAAAAAAATATTGGAACAGGGTGCCTGGAGGGCTCAGTCAGTTAAGCATCTGACTTCAGCTTAGGTCGTGATCTCACAGTCTGTGGGTTCAAGCCCTGCGTTGGGCTCTATGCTGACAGCTCAGAGCTTGGAATCTGCTTTGGATTCTGTGTCTTCCTTTCTCTCTCTGCCCCTTCCCTACTCATGCTCAGTCTCTCTCTCTCTCAAAAATATTTTTAAAAAAATAATAAAAGGGAATAGGAACAATAACCAAAAAGAGAAGAAAACATCCCTGAGCTAAAAAGGATTTTTCCCTACAACATATGAATCATTTTATTTTTTTTTAATTTTTTTTAATGTTTTATTTTTTTATTTCTAGGAGAGAGACAGAGAGAGAGACAGCGCGAGCAGGGGAGGGTCAGAGAGAGAAGGAGTCACAGACTGAAACAGGCTCCAGGCTCTGAGCTGGCAGTCAGCACAGAGCCCGATGCGGGGCTCGAACCCACGAACCGCGAGATCATGACCTAAGCGAAAGTCAGACGCTTAACCGACTAAGCCACCCAGGCGCCCCATGAATCATTTTAAAAAATGGGTGTGACATCTATCTTGATATATTCTGGAAAAAATTCTTGAGAAAATGAATTAAAATTTCCATAAGAGTCCTGAAGAGAAAGACAAAATGCCTTCCAAGAAATAGACTGCCCTCAGACTTTTGACATTAAGTGGCCCTAACGAAAGAACATCCTCTGACCCCAAAAGGCACTTTACAAGTTGCAGGTGTGCCTAGCAAGATTTCAAATTTGCAATGAACAATAACTTCCCATCGGGCCCCTTTTGGAATGCAAGTATCCTTGGTGATTATCCTGTATCTATCCCACCTTTGTGTGTTGGGTGGGAATGGACAGGGGAGATGGCAGATAACTTCTTTCATTTTGCAAGTCTCTCAATCAAGAGGAACCATACCCAAGAAGCCTCATCCTAAACTGAATATAACTTTATAATGGTATCTTACACTACAAGCCGGAGCCTAATGCCATAATGATATGAGACTTTGGGGGGAAGAGGTGAGCATATTTTGCATGGGAACAGAATGTCAGTAATTGGGGCCAGAAGGCAATGTGTATTGATTGAAAAAGATGGTCGCGATATTCTTCGGCTCTTCTCATCATGAGACAGACTGTGTTTTAGCACATCTTAAATTTGGTCTCACCTCATATCTTGCTTTGCCAACAAAATGTGGCAGAAACGATGTTATGGGTCCAAGGCCTACACCTCAAGAAGTCTTGCAGCTTCTGCCTTTGCCCTTGAGGATAGCTCCCTGAGACCACCCTGCTGTGAAAAACAGGGGCAGAGAAGCCCTGCTGTCTCAGCTGAGCACACTCCCTCCCTCAGGTGACATCTCACCAAAATGCAATCTTGTGAATTCGAGCAAGACCCAAAAAAGAACTACCTAGCCAACTGCAGAAAGTTGACTCTTTGTGACAAATGATAAATCACTGTTGTCTGAAGTTTCAGAGTTTGGGGCTGATGTGGCAGGTTGTATTTTCAAAAGATGCCCACCCCCATATATTCCATCACACATGCTCATCTTACAAACTGATACTGATACTTCTCCATTTAGTGATGGAATCTATGTCCCTTCCCCTTGAACCTAGGTGGGCCTTTTTTTTTTTTTTTTTTTAACTGTTTCAACCAATAGAGTTAAACAGAAGTCATAAAGGCTAAGTCATAAAAATACTTTCAATTCTGCCTCATTTTCTTGGGATGCTCATTCTTGAAGGCAGCTGCCATGATGTGAGAGGGCCAAGCCACAAGGAGGCCACGTATATGGGCTTCAGTAGGTGGCTACAGCTGAGGTCCCAGCAGACAACCAGTCAACCACCAGAGGTGAATGAACTTCAGATGATTCCAGCCCCCAGCCCTCAAGCCGCCCCATATAAGGCCACACGAGCCAAGATGAGCTGCCCTGTCATGCCTTGCCCAAACCCCTGCAAAGTTGTGAGCAAAATACATGGTGTTTTAAGTACTAAGTTTGTGATGATTTGTGATGCAATTGCTTCTATCAGGGATTTTGTGATGATTTGTGATGCAATTGCTTCTATCAGGGATATATCCAAAGACCTATAGAAATCCTCCAAATCACAAGTGCTAGGACTTCTTTAATCCTCTTCACTTTCTCTTCACAGCTATCACCGCTACGAGTATTTTCCATAGATAAGATGATTATGAATCCAAGAGCATTATAAGCTACATGAAGAGCAATGGAGAACAACATACCCATCTGAAGTGCAGATAATTTAAACTCATCTCTCAGCAAAATTATCAGTTACTACAAATCATGATCTCTGAAAGCTTTTGGAAAGATTTTGTTTGCCAGAGGTCCAATATATAGGACTTTCCACTATAAAAAATAATTTGTATTTGATCATCATGAACTCTCAATATAGAAACCCTGCAGTTCATTAACTGTGAGAAGAAATGTTTAACATGTACATCACCTCCTCTACTCCTTTTCTCTCCCAAAACCTCCTAATCTTGCTAGGTTGGTAGCTTGGAGAATTGAAGTAAATGATCTGGAGGTTGGTAACTGCTACTTAAAAGCAGAATAAATATCTCTTATGAGTCAGCTCTTTTTTCTCCTAACCGGCAATTTACCAGTGTCTCAAGTCTGCTGTGTAATGAGCACTGAGCTAGTGTGTGACTGTGAAGTCAAACCCCACAGAGCATGAATATTACAGCTTGCACCAGGTGGACGTGGAGCTGCCCATCAAGGCCTAGATCCCAGGAGGGCTGGCTAAGGAAGTGTTGCTTTTCAGTTAGCTTAACTTTCAGAGTTCATTTATTTCCAATGCTGGGTATGCGTCCAATCATCTAAGGGATTCCTTATAACCTGTCAAGAGGGGGAGTTTTAGTCCTATATGGCCCTTGTCAGAAGTGTCATGGCAGCCATCTTCCCCAGGAAGTATCAAAACTACAATGTAAATATATTAGAATGAAGCTATAGGTTACTGTAGAGCGGCAGGTCATAGGAGAGAATGCATATGCCGGGGTCTTTTCCAGCTCTTTATGCTCTGGGGATGGTTGGCAATTTCTTGATTTTTATCTTTTTAATGATAAAATGATAAGTCCCATTCCTTGCTCATATCTAGCTAACTGCCTACTCTGTCACAGCTTCTGTCTGCATCAGTTTCCTCAGGTGTAAAATGGTGTTGATACATGGCTTAAATGAATTAAACTCCAAGATACACCTCTTTTGGCATATTTGATTATTCTAAACTGGTTATTTCTAAGGAACCACAGACACAGGAAAAGGTCTGAAAACTGAGTAGAAATTACGCTTTTGTGGAGCGCCTGGGTGGCTCAGTCAGTTAAAGGTCCGACTCTTAGTTTCAGCTCAGGTCATGATCTCACAGTTCGTGTATTCAAGCCCCACATCGGGCTCTAATGTTGACAGTGCAGGGCCTGCTTGGGATTCTCTCTCCCCCTCTGTCTCTCCCTCACTTGCATATTCTCTCTCCCTTTCTCAAAAGTAGATTTAATAAACAAACAATAAGTTACCCTTTTGTAAGAGATATTTACATGTAGAAAGGAAATCTCCGTTCATGAAAGAGGGATGACCCTAAATCTCTAGAAACTGTTATCAGTGGAGAAGGAATGGATTTAAATCTACCCACTAACTTATCCTTGTTTACTGGACTTTTCCTGGCAACCTTCCATAAATGCTTCCCCCCCCCCCCCAAACCCTACTGTCTTTAGCTGGAGATGGATTTAAGGTGATGGCTTTGGCCATTTTGGTGAGTTACTGTTTTCTTGGGTCTTTCCCACGTGTAGAGGAGGTATACATGTTATTAAACTTTTGTTTGATTTTTCTCCTGTTAATCTGTTTCATGTCAGTTTAATCCTTAGTAGAGCTGGAAGAATCTTGAAGGGCAGAATAGAATCCTGCCTCCTCAACCCCTTGTTTTATTTTTTAATAGAACTTACTTAATCATTGTGAAAACTAACCTTTGTTCATTTATATGCTTAGTGTCTATTTCTCCCCTTACCTGTTAACCCCCTAAGATTTGAGGCCTGTGAGAACAGGGAATTAATCTTATTTTGTTTCCCAATGTCTCCTCAGTCTTGAGAGCAGAGGCTGGTACACCATGAACATTTATAAAGTATTTGGTTGAGACACCTGCCTGGCTCAGTAAGTTCAGCATCAGCTTCAGCTCAGGTCATGATCTCATGGTTTGTGGGTGCAAGCCCCACATCCTGGTGCCTGCTTCTGATTCTGTGTCTTCCTCTCTCTCTCTCTCTCTCTCCGCTCTGTCCCACTTGTGTGCTCTCTGTCTCTCTCTCTCTCTCAAAAGTAAATAAATAAAACATTAAAAAAAAATAAGGTACTTGCTGTATTGAGTAAGTAAACAAGGAGCAAATGTCAGGAAAGCCTTCGAGGAATCAGGGAAGTATAGAGTCATTTAGCTCATTATCTAGCCTCACACAACAGTAGCTTGAAACTTACATGTTGATGGTGGGACAGGGAACTTTGCAAAACTAAGATAACATTACTAGCATTAAGCCACATCCTCAATCATTTAAAAAGAAAAAAAAAGTTTTCTTTGGGCTCCCTGAACTCACTTTTTTGCAATGATTGTGTCTTCTTCCTTCTTAGCAGTCAGCATAGTACAGCATGTACAGCATAGTACAGGACACAGAAAATGTCAAACATTTGTGGAATAAATATGAGTGTGTAACATGAGGTGGTACAACATTTGTATAGTGTTTACAGTTTACAAAGTGATGCCAATATTCCTTAAAGCATGCATGTCATGATGTCTGTTGCTGACTTTAAATTATTTCAGCATTGACAGTGGAATATTCTGCGTGGGTTAATTGGCTGAAGCTATGCCCTAGACGCAGCGTTCTTAGTAATCAGGAAGCCACACTCCAGAGGTAGCTGGCTGGAATCATACCAGAAAGGCCACATTCCAGGGATGGAGCTACAGATACTTTAGCCAATTGGATCTCTGATGGCACTGGACGTTTTGCTAATTATCATAACGAGTGTCAGAAGTGAGTATTTACTGGCAAAAGTAACAACTTATTAATTACCATGATGAATACTAGAAATGGGATCTCAAAAGGATGCAAGTTAGGTGAATTGTTTAAAATATTTTAGAAAATGCTCTCCACATCTGGATGAACAGGGTCTAAAAATTCAAGGTGCCCTCAGCCTTTGTTGATGCCATTGGAGGCTGCATCCCTAATGGTGCTGGCTCTACCACTGGTCTGTAAGATTTCTGGCTGCCAGATGGTGACTACGCAGACAAACGAATCCTGCCTCTGGAGCACTGCACTTCTGCTTTTCAACTTCCTAGCGCAAGGTGGTGGTCACAATGCCCAGAGCTGTGTTCTCCAATACGCTGATCACTGCGCACAGGTGACTACTGAGCATTAAAATATGATGAGTCCAAACTGTAAACTATACATATCAGTTTTGAAGACAGTACAAAAATGTACAATAATACACTAATTTTTTATATTGAATGCATATTTAAATGACAATCTTCTAGATACATTGTATTAAAATATATTAAAATTAACTTCACCTCATTTTTTTCTTTAGTAAGAAACAAAAAACAGTAGTGTTTAATGCGGCTACTAGAAAAGTTAGTATGTGGCTTGACCTCAGTTTTTACAGGACAGTGCTGATCCAGAATAGAGAGCTCAGTCTTTGTCAAGCTTATCCAGCAGATTAAATCCTATACGTGCCTACTTCCCAATAAACATTTGTTTAATACACGTCGGAATAAGGAGCAAATTTGGGCCTGTTTACTTTCATTCAACCTCAAGAAGAAATTGTGGTGTAAACCTTTTCAGCTATGAGAAACTTTTCAGCTGCCAGAAAGAAACTAAAAGTTTGGGATGATCAAATTATTGAGGTCAGCTGTCAACTGCGAGGGTGTAGAGCATTAGGCACAGTAGTAATGACTGCTACTACGGCGATCATACAGATGAGAACAGGGAAACACACAGAATCCTATTAAGTAGAAACCATTATCATTAATAGGTACAATTAATATGATTAAATTCAATGTACGCTGAATTAAGCCTAACTTCAAACTTCCCGTCTCAAACGCTGAAGCCAAAACCACCATCACCTCCGCCAGCTTCAGCAGCAGTTCCTCACGACTTCCGCCCACGCAACGCAACCAATCACGGCTGCGGGGCTGAGTGACGTCACTCTCCTAAAAGTCCGGGGCAATTTCCATACTTCTTTTCCGCTCCCAGCCCCTTTTCTGTTTGTTAGAGGCGACGGCGGCCATTTTGGATTCGGGCGGGCATCAAATTAAAACCGCACGGCTAAGGCCTAAAAATTAAAATCAAGACAAACTCGCGAGCTCAGCTCAAACGCCAAGAGAGGAAAGATCTTCACAGGCCAACCAGGCCGCTGAGAGCAAAGAGCGAAGTCCCGACCGGCAACGGCGCCCACACTCAAGATGGCGCCGGCCTGAGCGTCACCTGTGCCACCTCTCTGTCTCGGTTCCGGGTTCGTTCGCCTCAGTGGTGGCGTCGGAGGGCTGAAGGCTGGCGTTCTGTCCGGTTTCCGGGCCCGTCTCTATGGTGTTGGAGGGAGCATACCCCCCGAAGATTTGTGGGTGTACTGGCCACAACCTCACAGGGTAGGCGAGGGTGGTTGGTGTCAACAGGGGGCGAAGAGGGGACCGGAGCAAAGACCCTCGGCCGCCTCCCCCGCCGCCCTCCCGCAGGTAACAGGGAGCCCTGCGCCGCGTCCTCCGTCCGTGCGGGACCGGGCCGCGGGGGAGGGGCCGGGCCGGGCGCGGAGGCGGTGGGCGCGCGCCCCGTCGGCGCGGCGCCGCTGCCGGTTGAGCTGCGCCCTCCGCCTCCGCGCCAGCCTCCCCCCGCTGGTTGCGGGGCGCCCTTCGGATCTGGGCTTCGTGGGCGACCCCCGCCCGGCGCGTTGCTGGCGGCCGGAGCCAGCGAGGAAGCCGCGGAGCCGGGCCTCGCGGGCAGGTGTGGAAGGTGAGGGGCCAGCGAGCGGGAGCGCCGTCCCCGCCCACTCCGAGCGGTCGCGGTGGGACCCTGCTGGCCCCCGGGCCGCCCTCCCCTCTGCGGGGAGGGTGAGTGTGCGCGGCGCGGCCGGACGGAGCCAGGCGGCGCTGCCGGAGCCGTGGGAGCCGGGGGTCGCCTGCGTTCCTGCTCCAAGACGAGTGCCGGGCCCCCGGAGGCCCAGCCGGCTCTGCCGTTGCATACTGCTTTTTGTTTAGAATAAAGATGAAACATTTCTCGGAAGAGCGTGTTGAGGAAACCACGTGAATACGAGTCGGGTCCTTAATTCTGGAATCCCTATTACTGCTGTTTTTAAGGACCTGTGTGCATACCCACGTAACATCTCAAATCCTAGCTGAAGTCATACTTACTTCTTTTGGTCCATAAAGGCTTCTTTATGTATTGCGGGTCAGCTAGCAATGCTGGGCTGAGTTCATTACAGGGAATGTGTACTTGAAACAGATCAGAGCACAGAGCCCGAGTAATACTAGCACCAGATAACAAAGTATCAATCAGTATAGGGTGTCCTTAGAACTCACCGTGCAAGCCATTATTTGGAACCTCCAAGCTAAGAGAGCTAGAACCAAGATCATCTCGATTAATTGCTGAGGAAGAACAGACGGGGAGAGAGAGATGACATGGATTTCTTAGTGTGAGTTTCCCGGTGACCTAGACCGGCGCCTGCATACTCCACAGGTGGCCCAGAAATGTGATGTGCTGCCCAAGGAAGCAAAAGGGTGGAGGAAGGTAGGTGAGCCCATTTTTAAAGAGAAGACCTTGATGCATACTCAAGTCAGATACTGCCGACCCAACACTGTATTCTAGAGATTGGGGATGGTAATTCTGCAAAATATCCATGCTAATGGCACAGTATTAGACTATCCTTTTCTGCCTTGTAACTTTTTTTTTCTTGTGACTTCTTGAGTTGAAAGCAGTCAACAGCACATCTTTTTGTTGTCACCTAATAAAGTTTGCACTGGACTTAGGCTGTAATCCTACTATTACACAGTAATAGTAACTGTGAGCATTGCAGTTCTGGCATGGGAAGACTTCTGTCAACGATAATCATGCTTTCAAAACAGTAAAATGGCGTCTTTGTCCCAAGAAAGGGAATCCTTTCTTTTCTTATTCTCTTTTCTCTCTTTTCTTTCTTTCTTTTTTTTTTTTTTAATGTTTATTGATTTTGAGAGAGAGTGCGAACAAGGGAGGGGCAGAGAGAGGGAGAGACAGAGAATCCCACACAGGCCCCGTGCTGTTAGCACAGAGCCTGACACAGGGCTTGGTCCCACAAACCATGAGATCATGACCTGAGCTGAAACCACAAGTCGGCGGCTTAACCATCTGAGTCCCCCAGGCACCCCCATTTCTTTTTTTTTTTTTTTTAAGTTGTATTTCTTGGGGTCTTAGACCCAATAGAGCCACTGCTAAGAAAAATGACCAACTCTTAAAGCTTTCCTAACTCTAGATGGTTTCAGGCCCAGTGTTCTCACAAGGACATATTTTGCTATCAAGAAATGACTAAGTAAACCAAATGTCCCTTGTTGTGCGTCTGCTGAGTGCCATTCAGTCAGCCAGAGCACTGCGCCTGAGTCCTGGTGACTGTCTTATCTCCTCTGAGGACTAATACTAAAACTGCACAGACGCTGTGCTTTTCTGCCAAGAGGATTTTCATTTTTCTGCAGTTCCTCGTGTTGACTTTGGAAAGCTGTATTTTGCGGCTAGGAGAAAAGGAAGTTAGACTGGCCTCAGCTCCACACTCTTCAGAGTAACACTGCTCTGACTAATCCCTCTAATCTGACTGGTTTTTCAGACAGAGGAGTTCTAGAGACGTAGGCAGTTTCTGCTAATGAAATGGCAGCTGGTGCTAGACACCATGGGCCACTCAAGCTACCCCTGGTGTATCTCACGCCAGCCCCGGTTGTGTAAGGCTGTCAGTGTGGCTGTTCGCAGGAAGTGCGTTCGCAGCTGGGCTTCCAGAAGCCTCAAGATGGAGGGTGGTAACGCGCCCCTGTAAATCTGAGTAACCTGCTCCCGGTGTTTGCTCTTCCTTCTGCTCGCTGCCTTCCCCTGTGCTTGCCAAGTTTCTGCCTCTTCGGGGCTTTGGCTCTCTGCAGCCCTGACTCCACCTCATGGCATCCTTTTACCTTCAGCTAGAAGAAATGTCTTTTGTGCCTTCAGATTCCTGAGACAGCTAAAGACCTGGTCATTTTAACTCTTCCTCTGGGCCACGGGTCCTAGACAAGGCTAATGTGTGAATTCACTGACCCATTAACTGTGCCCGAGAGGAGAGGGGCGAGATCCAACTACTGAACATGACCTTCACTGCTCAGCAGTTGGGGGGGGGAGGGTGCAGATTGTCACAGGTACCATCCCAGCTCCACAACAGGGGAGTTAACGGGAGCTGCTTTTCTCCATGAGCCCACGTAGACGCTAACTTTACCTGGAGTCCCAGTAGAAAGGTGAACATTACACATAGTTCAGATACTTGGCACTTTTAATACTGTTTCCCCCCTGCTGTTCTTAAGATCCAGTGCAGAGTAGGGAGGGGCGCAGTGGATTTGTTACGAAGATGACTTACTACTTATCCTCAGATGTATTCTTGGATTTTTGAACAATTTCAAGTTTAGATAGTTTTAGCTTTGTCCACGTTGTGTTCTTTATGTAACGATACATGTGGGTCTGGAGGCACTTGGAATTCTCTGTTTTAGGCATGTGTCTTCAGCCCCTCATACTTTGGTAACACACAGGGTTGTGTGGAACTTCGCTCAAGCGGAAAAAAATCCAAGTGGAGGATCTGGTTGTAATGGTTGTTGGGTGTCTGTCTGTTCAAAGGGTGCAGTTTTTAAACTGAAAATTTTAAAGGTCTCCATAGATTTTTTGGCCATGTCACCAGAGTCAGAACTCTTTTTTATGTTTTATTTTTTACATTATGGTAAAGCCAGAACTGCAGACTGACTGCCACAGATTTTTCCAGCGTGTGTTATTTGGCCGGTACAGGTTTAAGTACATTCGAGCCAGAACTGAAAAATATGGACATTTCCATATAAATATTCAGGCTCTTGGATCCTTCTGATAAACGGGCCAATCTGGCAGTCCTGGCTGGGACCTTGTGAGGGCCGCTCCCTGCAGAGTGACGGCCCTGTCAGCAGGTGCCTTACATGCAGCAGGGCCTCTGCTGCCCCCACCCCCACCCCAGTACTGTGGGGGCCGCTCTGCAGTGCCTGCTGTAGCCATGGGAATGTATCCCCATTGTAAAGAAAGGTGTGTGCTCAGTGTAGAAGGTTTGGGAAGTGCAGGCATATGTCTGTCTGTGACTTATTCGTGATCCAACACCAACAGCAAATCTCTGTTAATACTTGAGCATTTTTTCAGGTCTGTCTGTTTATGTATGTATCTGTATATAGATACATTCATAGATACACACCTAGAAATAAAGTGTTTCTTTTTAAAACAACTATACGGCCTCCTGGCTAAGTGGCCAACTTCAGCTAAGGTCATGATCTCACAGTTTGTAGATTCGAGCCCCATGTCGGGCTCTGTGCTGACAGCTCAGAGCCTGGAGCCTGCTTCGGATTCTGTGTCTCCCTCTCTGACCCTCCCCCACTTACACTCTGTCTTTCTCAAAAATAAATAAACATTAATTTTTTTTAAATAAAATAACTTTAGTGAGGTATAATTGATGTACAGTAAACTGAACATATTTAAAGCATACAATTCTGTAAGTTTTGGTATTTATTATTACCTTTCACCATAAGCAAGTTAATGAATATATCTATTCCCCCAAAAGTCTCCTTACATCCCTTGGCAGTCCTTTCCCCTCCCCTGGTCCCTGTTACTGGGCTTGTAACCCAGGCAACCACTGAGCTGTTTTCTATCATTACAGAGTAATTTGCGTTTTGTAGGCGTTCCCCTCTAGGTGGGTTTTTTTTTGTTTTGTTTTTTGTTTTTAGCATCTGAGATGATACAGTTTTGCACTTTCCCCTTTTTACTTAGCCATGACTTTGAAGAGCAATGGGAGTGTGCTCTTTCTTTTCTTCTTTCTTTCTTTTTTTTTTTTTTGTCTATTTATTTCATTTATTTTGAGAGAAAGACAGGGGCAGAGAGTGAGGGAGAGAGAGAACCTCAAGCAGGCCCCACACTATAAGTGCTGACCCTGATGTGAGGCTGGAACCCACAAACCCTGAGATCATGACCTTAGCCGGACAGCAAGAGTTCCACATTCAACTGACTGGGCCACCCAGGCGCCCTCTTTTTTATGTTTATTATCATTTGTGTTCAGCGGGGGGTGTCTTCCGCACTGTTCTCCTGGTGCTCCGGGCACTTTGCTCGGCCTGCATGAACTCTCCATTTGTTAACATGTTTTTCATCATTGATAGAAATACGCTCCAGTCTGTTTGGTACACTTTGTAATTATAAGTTATTGTAGACACACAGCAGTTTTCTCGTTGAATAAGGGGGTTTACAGCGCTCTCCTGTGAGGCAGGATATGTGAGCAAGTTAGGGAGCACGGGTGATCTTATTCTGGTTTGGATCACCTGGCGCTGTGACAGTCCCCTGAATGTGTGTGTGTGTGTGTGTGTGTGTGCGCGCGCGCGTGCGCGCGCGCGAGGGGGTCTAGGGGGCCGCCGCATCTTCCCCAGAGCCCTCAGTTGTTCCTTGAAAAGCACCCCCGGTGACTTGGGGAGCACTTACCGTTTTTGTCGTGGGAGCCTGTTGATGGGGCCTGGAGGGCCGGGTGCGTCGGAGCGGCGGGGTCGCAGGCGGGGGGCTTGTGGGTGAAGGTGTTTGCCTTTCTCCCCCAGCTGTGCGGGCCTTCGCGGAGGAGCCGCGGCGCCGCCTGCAGGCGGAAGGCATGGGCTCGGAGAGCAGCGCCCTGAAGAGCTACGCGCTGATGGAGCCCGCGCGCGCCCTGCGGGCCGGCCTGGCCGTGCACCCGGCCGTGCTGCAGGATGGCCGGCGCGCCTCGGTCTTCGTGTACCGGAGGGAGAACGAGGACCGCGTGCACAAGGCCGCCAAGGTACCCGCGTGGGCGCCGCCCGTCTCCTTCGGGGGTTTTTACTGTCTTGGCTCCCGTTACAGAATACGAAATGGGAATTAATGATGGGCACGGGGGGGGGGGAGGGGGGGAGATCCTAATTAATCGTGCTTTTATGGTGGTTGTCCCGGCGCCCCTGGGGGGCTCAGTCGGTTGAGCGTCAGACTTGGGCTCAGGTCAGGATCCCCGCAGTTGCTGTTCCAGCGCCTCGCCGGGCTCTGTGCTGACAGCCTGGAGCCTGGATCCTGCCACGATTCCGTGTCTCCCTCCCTGTCTGCCCCTCCCCCACTCACGCACTCGCGAGCGCGGTCTCTCTATACAAAATTAACATTAAAAATCCTTTTTAATTAAGAAAAAAAAAAGAACGTGGTTGTCCTTCCCTCATGGGAAAATCTCCAACTCCCTGTGACACGATCAAGTACCACGAGCAGAGCCAAAGCAGCTTCATAAAACCCAGGGCCGTAGCTTTCATCGTATTGTTTCAGTGAGAAGGTTCGGAAGGTAATTTTCCAGGGCTAATATAAGGTAGAGTTAGTGTCGCTTAGCAAAAATCTGTACGTACTGACATTTTGGGAAGCATATTATTTAATTTGTGAATTTTATTTATTTTTGTGTATTTTACGTATTTTACTTTTAAATTTTTGACTTTTTAATTTTTGCATTTAAATTTGAATATAGTTGACACACAGTGTTAGTTTCAGGTGGACAACATACCGATTCACCTTCTCTATACCTTATGTTGTGCTCACCATTAGTGTATGGATGATGGGCCTAAAATAAAATATTTTAGAAACTGCAGGTACTATTTTTTCTTTTCCCACGGTATTGTCATGTCCCCAGAAAGAATGTTGAGCAGGACGCCCCAGAAAGAATGGTGGCCTGGGTTCTGGTTCTTACTGAGGGACCTTAGTCACATCACTGACTTTTAGAGGCTTCAGTTTCCTCTTCAGGGAGAAGTTGCTCCTGGCTCACACCTTCCAGATGCTGCTCCTGGAAGGGGACCAGTGCATTAGCAGGTGCTTGTGCACTGCGCCCTCCCACCCCCACCCCCGGCCTCTTAGAAGAAAATGTGATTGTACCTCGGAATATAAATAGAATTCAATAAAACATCCCTAAGTGTCTTTATTTTTTTTTTAAGTTTATTTATTTTATTTTATTTTGAGAGAGAGCACAAGTGTGCATGAGTGGAGAAGAGGCAGAGAAGAGAGAGGGTGAGAGAGGATCCCAAACAGGCTCCACACTGTCAGCCTAGAACCTGACGTGGAGCTTGAACCCACAAACTGCGAGATCATGACCTTAGCTGAAATCAAGAGTGAGACACGCAACCAACTGAGCCACCCAGGTGCCCTGTTAATACTTTTTTTATTGTAATTTTTGCAAAAGATAAAATGCCTTGCCTCACTGTTCTATTCTTATATGCAGTTAATATCTGACATACTTCTTGTTATTTTCATTTCATAATGTAGCATGTTTTTCAAGTAAAAAAAATTAGGATCACTGTTTCTAGTGAAGTACTAGAGATTTATCAACTTCTTTAGTTGGTTTTTTTAAATAAGTTCATAAGATTTTTTAACACCGTTTTGCTTATTTATTTTTGAGAGAGACCACACGCACAAGCAGGGAGGAGCAAAGAGAGAGAGGGGAACAGAGGATCTGAAGCAGGCTCTGTGCTGACAGCAGAGAGCCCCATGTGGGGCTTGATCTCACGAACCGTGAGATCATGACCTGAGCCAAAGTCACACACTCAGCCGACTGAGCCACCCAGGTGCCCCAAGGAGTTTCAGTTAAGGTCACAGTTCTTGAAAACATGTATCATGTTGCATTGGGACCTTGATTTTCCTAGATTCCTGAAATACTAAATGTGGCCAGCTCACCTCACTTTCTCTAGAGTTCAGGCTCCCAGTACCACCTTCGGTGGTTTTGATGACCACTTCAAGCAGATGGACAGTGTTTTCCTTGCAAATATTGTCAGGTCATAAGTGTAGTGTTCCTCTAGTATTATAAATAAAAAACTACAGGCACAGTGCAGTGTAACTAATGGAATAAGATGAAATATGGTATAACCTTTGGCTACAAAATAATACTAGAAATTCCTCAAGTCCATCAGATCCTATCATTTTATCTTGAATCCATTAGCTATAATAGTATAATTTTCTTACTGGTGGTTAAGGACTCATTTCTGATGAATAGTAAGGAATGATAGCTCATAAATCAGAGTGTGGTTCCTGTGGCTTGCTCTAATCCCAGTGCTTAGGGGGGGCCTCGTGGTAAGGACAAGCTCATGAACAACTCTCTTCATACCACACAGCAGTCACACTGACTCTAGGAATGCGTGTGCGGATGCTGTGCACATGCCTTGGGAGACATTATGCTCTTCTCCATGACTCAGGCCGCTTTCTGAAAGGGTTGGTCAACATATTTGAGAATGCACAATGCATGGTCATGAGGAAGAAATAGAATATCGCTTGCCTTCCACTTGGGGAATGCTTCACTGCTCGTCCTTATATACCGACTTGCTCTTTCTGTTCCTCTCCCTCTTCACCCTTTTCTGTGCCATTTACAACTGTTATTCTAATAAATCAGCTGTCCTACATTTTCAGCTTTTAAAAAAATGTTTCCTTCATAATCAAGAGCTGATTCTCTTATGAGGCTCCTGATCATGATCCATTCAGAAGAACGTCAGAAGTACCCCCATCCCTCAGGTGCGCCTCCAGATGGCGCAGGCCCCTTTCCCCCCACCCCAAAACAATTTTCAGACTTCAGGTTCTCGTCCTTTCTCCCCTGGTGCTTACATCTGGCCTTCCGCCCCCAATGCAGTATCTGCTGAACCCTCTGGGCTGAGCCCCAGATCCACATTCCCACCTGCCTGGTGGAATATCTCCGCTTGGCTATTCCAGCAGCACCTCAGGCGCAGACTTTCCAACACAGGATTCTTTACCCCTTTCCCTTCCTGCATTTCATTCCTAGTTTCTCATCTAACCTCTAGCTCCTGGACATTCAAAGACAGAGTGGGGCGCCTGGGTGGCTTAGTCGGTTAAGCGTCCGACTTTCGCTTAGGTCATGATCTAGCGGTTCGTGGGTTCGAGCCCCGCGTCGGGCTCTGTGCTGACTGCCAGCTCGGAGCCTGGAGCCTGTTTCAGTCTGTGACTCCCTCTCTCTCTGACCCTCCCCTGCTCACGCTGTCTCTCTCTCTCTCTCCTAGAAATAAATAAAACATTTAAAAAAAAAAAAAGACAGAGTGTCCTTACGTCTTTGTCTCAGATTTGCATCTCCGTGGAAGAAGGAAGAGTATTTCTCCCTTAGAGGTCTTGCTCTCTAGTTTAGGCATCTTGGTGATGATGTTATATTTCCTTAACTGGGTGAAACTGTGGCTGGCTTCCTGTCTAAAAACTTGCAGGTGGATTTGAGCTAATAACTACTATCTTGTGTAGTTCTCAAAGTGAAATAGAGAACCAGAGGGAGAACCTATAGTAATGACAAGTTAAGCCGCTAAGGCTTGAATTAATTAATTCTCTGGATACTCAGTCCTAACCCGTTCCTGAAAAGTAGAAAGTTTATATTCACAACTTGACTCTCACACCTAACATTTCTGTGCGGGTCTGGATAAGTACGGATATTGACAGATTAGCCAGTGCTGCTCATATTTAACGATAAAGGTTACTCAGGTTCTTCTTTCTGAGAGTATTCACCTGGAGCAGAACACAGGTGGAACAGGGTTGTGGTGACTCAGGGACAGATACTTTCGACACTCCTTCCACAAAGCCGCCCTCTCCACCACCAAAGAGTCATTGCTCTCTTTGGTTAATGCTTACTGAGAAAATCTTAGCAGGTGCATCTCGTCGCTCCCTCTGTTCTTTGGAGCTTGAGTCAAAAAATGTTTCTATTTGATTCGTAATTGCTGACTTCCTGTGAATCTGTATGCATAATTTATGCAAAATATTGTGTGTGCTGAAGTGGGGGAGACACATGATGTTCTTGCTCGGTTAAGTGCCTTGTTCAGAATCATACTATCAGTTACTCCTTTCTGCCTTTATTAAACAAACCAGACACTTTGGACCAAGAATTTTGCTGGGAATGTAGGGTTGAAAACAAAAAGCGCAGAATGTAATTTATTATTTCATTTATTAATCAGGTGAAATTTACTGACTCTGTATTTAATGCCAGTGCTCAGCCTGGTAGTATGTCTTCTGACTTACTAGTCTGCCCTGAGTACTAGAAGCATAAAAGAAGGTACATACTACCAAAAGAAAATAATTAGAGTCCTAGGAAATAAGAGCTTCATGAATAATTTTTCCCGAACAGGCAGAAGTACAAAGTCAAGTGTTTCATTTTGGGTTTGCAAATTACTTGAGGTGATTCTTAAAATGGAAAAATATGAAAGAGGTTGCATAATTTTACTCAAAACCATAGCTTAAAAGACCCGTGCAAGAAGTTCCATCCACTTGTGCTCAGGCATTGAGCCAGCTCGCTAGCATGGCTCTTGGCTCTTCTGGGTATTTACTGTATTTATATGCATATGAATGGATTATATTAAAGGCATACATACGGATTAGTAGTTCTTATTTGCTAGCTAAAACATTTTCTTTTTCTTTTTTTTGTTAGTTTTTATTATCTATTTGTTTATTTTTGAGAGAGAGAGAATCCCGAGCAGGCTCTGCATTGTCAGCTCAGAGCCCAATGTGGGGCTCGAACCCACAAATGGCGCGATCATGACCTGAGCTGAAATGAAGAGTTGATGCTTAACTGACTGAGCCACCCAGACATCCCAAGAGTTTTCTTAATTTTTATTAGAGTGACCTCTGGAGGATAACAGCTTTCTTCTTAAAACCAAACAAGAAATCCTACTGAAGCTATTCCTAGAGGTGTCAAAGTTTGGGATCATTATAAGAGAGGAAAAGAAACTGGATGAATTCATTTCCTCAGATGATTCTCCTGTGGTTTCACCTAATAGGCTAGTTTGAAGTGACTGATAGAAACCTTGAACCAGTGCTGTGTTACAGACTCTCACGCGAGCTCATATTCTTCCAAGAAGGTATTTTGGAATATTCCATTCAGAGGGTTTAATTGTGAAAATGAAACCCAACGTTATATTCAGGGTTTTTCTCCAAGTGAATCTTCCGTCGGCCTCCGTCCTGTGCGATGATTGGTTTACAAGCCTTCCTCAGTGTCCAGCGGATTGCACGGGCTTTTCTCTCTAAGAGCTGCCTCCGAAGGTTTTTTATTTATCTGATTTTCACCAGTTTGATGACAATGTGTATAAATGTGGTTTTCTTTGATTTTTCCTGTTTGACGTTTATTGAACTTTTGAAATCTGTAACTTTAGTATTAGGCTGAATTTGGAAAGTTCATTACATTTTTTATGCCCCCTTTTTTTTTTTTTTTTTTTTTTTTGCGAGGTGGGGGACCACTCCAATTATATACATTAGACCTTTTGTTATTGTCACATGAGTTCCTGAGGCTATGATCATTTTTTAAAAAGAAGAGTTTTTGGGGTGCCTGGGTGGCTCAGTTCGTTAAGCATCCAACTCTGGCTCAGGTCATGATCTCACAGTTCATGGGTTTGAGACCTGAGTCAGGCTCTGCCTGGAACCGGCTTCAGATTCAGTGTCTCTCTCTCTGCCCCTCCCTTGTTCATGCTCTGTTCCTCTCTCAAAAATAGAAAAATAAACATTAAAAATTTTTTAAAACTTTTTCTGTTTGTTCTTCAGGTTGTTAACACAGCTAGGTTCGTGGGCTCTTGCCTCGACCATCTGCATTCTGTTGTTGAGTCTGTTCATTGGATTAGTTTCTAATATTTTATTTTTCCTTTCTAAAACTTCCACTTATTTTGGGGCACCTGGTTGGCTCAGTCAGTTAAGTGTCCAACTCCAGCTCAGGTCATGATCTCACGGTTTGTGAGTTTGAGCCCCGCGTCAGGCTGTCCACACAGAGCCTGCTTTGGATTCTCTGTCCCCTTCTCTCTCTGCCCCTCCCCTGCTTGTGTTCTTTTTCTCTCTCAAAAGTAAACAAATATAAAAAAATAATAATGAACTTCTACTTATTTTAAATAAAAGTTCTTTCTCTGCTGAGAACTTCTTTCTATTTATTTCCTAATTGTTTTCCTTTACCTCTAGGGGAGAATGGTTATAATATAATAGTTAAGCTGTTTTAAATTCTTTGTGATAATTGTAATACCTGTTTCATCTTGGGGTTGATATTTGTTGCTTGTCTTTTCACTTTTTTGTTTTTGTTTTTGTTTGTCTGTTAAGTGAGAACATTTTGGATTGAATACTGGACATTTTGAATGTCCTGTCGCATAGACTCTTGTTTCTGTTTTAATCCTTGGGAGATTGTTAATGTTTTCCATTTTCGATGTTTTGATGTTTTGACTGCAGGCAGTCAATCCGCTTAGGTTCAGGCTTCAAGTTTTCTAACTACTCTCCGCCCACTATTCCTGTGCATGCTGCTTCAAACCGCGGTCATTTCTCAAACCTTTGCTGTGCTGGTGTGGGTCTGCTCTGTCTGTGTGGGTTCAGGAGTTAGTCTGAGACCTGTGTAGGTAGACAGATACTCCGAGCATCTTCTTCTCCGGTCCTTTCCCCTCTGGGATGTCCTCAGACTCAGGCTGGCCTCAGTTCCTCCCTGTCATTCTTCTGGCCAGAAAGGTGGCAGGGTCTCTGTCGGAGTTTTAGCCACGTTTGCTCCACTGCTGTGCACGCGGGGCCCGCCATCGCCATTGGTGCACAGCTGTGAGAAAGGACATCCCTCACCCAGGACATGTATCCCCACGCTGTCTCTTCTCCTCATTTTGACCCGGCTCCAGAACCTGAGTGCTTTGTGAAGGTCTCCGGTCACTATTTTGGGCACCCGGTTCAGAGTCAATAGCAGTGATCTTTGGGAGGCCTGGGCTCCTGGGGGGCCCACACTGCCCTCTGTAGAGTGATTTAAACATTGGTAAAGTCACAGCAGCTCATAGATGTGTCTTCACCTTACTTGAAATTTCGGGGGAAGATGAGGAAGGTAGGGAGCTGGAAAGGACCTTGAATGCAAAGGATACAGTTTCTGACTTTCACCCTGACGTACATGAAACTGCCAGTAATCGGGTCTTGAGTCATTAACCTCATCACCCCTTCTGTTTGTATTTTTAAAGCATTTGAAGACACTTCGCCACCCTTGCCTGCTGAGATTTTTATCTTGCACCGTGGAGGCGGATGGGATTCATCTTGTCACTGAGCGAGTGCAGCCTCTGGAAGTGGCTTTGGAAGTGCTGTCTTCTGCGGAAGTCTGTGCTGGCATCTATGACATATTGCTGGCCCTCGTCTTCCTTCACGACAGAGTAAGCAGCCCGCACGTAGTGCGCCTCGCATACTTTGGTACAGGCTGGGGGTGTTGGTGTGCGTGCTGATGCTGTAGTTATGGGATATGTGGAAAGCATAAGGCACTGTTCTGAGTCAAAAGCTTCCCAAGGGAAACGCACACATTGGAAGGCACGGCAGTGCCACAGACGGATGGTTTGTGGCCTCTGACCCTGGGCAGTGTTTCATAGGCCTTTATTCACTTGACGATGGTCTCCCTCCAGTTTGGGGTAAGCCTTTACCTAAAAATAGCAGCAGTTGTATTCCATTTCTTAAGAAAGGGATAAAGCCTTAACATAATGCTGCTGTGGGCCGAATTCCAACTTGTTTCTAGGGGTTTTGTTCCATGTTAGATTTTGAAGAAAGAAATGACCATGTCTTCGAAAGAGGCAGTTTTACATTCCTTCTCCTTTGAGTAGGTGATGTCCCTGAGAGCCAGCCTCTTCACACTGTGGTCAGGTTCACTGTCACAGGGGTAAGGGTACTTCCTCTGTTTACTTCTGGTCTGTTTCTGGACGGTGTTACAGAGCTATTTCTTAATGGAATTTGCATTCTGAACTATGAAAGCCTGTGGCCATCCTCCCAGATTAAAATGACCAGTCACAGGTTAGAAACATTTGCATATGATTCATCTCAGTGTATGTTTGTTTTTTTGTTAACTTTTCCTGTTAATGGGAGACAGATTCCAAATATCACTTTGGATTTATTGTCTCTTAAAAGCTTGTCTAAGATGCATATAAAGACAAATTGTTCATGCTTCATGTGGAGGAATCTTTTCTTTGTTGGAAAAAGTGTGTGCATGTGGTGGAAAGCTTGGACAGCGTGTGAGCACATAGAGGGAGGAGCAAGCCCCCCACCCAGAGTCCAGGGCCCTACTTCCCTCCAGAAGCGACCGCGGTGATGGTGATGAGCCCAGTCGTTCGGACATGCTCTGTGTGCACATAAAGCAAACGTTCCTACTAGCCTAGTCTCCCTTATTTCTCAAATGCAAAAATATACCATCCATGCTATTCTGAACCTTCCTCTAAAATGTATATGTATCTTGGAATGTTTCATATCAAAATATGTACACACTTGCTCTGGCGAGTAGGATATTTAAAATGCACGGTCGACTGAAATGACTTCCAGCTTGGGGTTAAAAACACACACGTACTTGAATTCTGTTCTCATTGTCTTCTTCTTCCTTCTTACTTATTTGCCTGTACTGTGTTTTGTAGTCCTCAATTCCGTCACTTCCGTGCTCGGGGGGATATTCCTGGTGGCCCTTACCATTCCATTTTCCTCTTCTTCAGGCAGAATTGTTGAATGCCTCCTGACAAGATTTCAGGTGAAATGGATCTGGGTTCGCATTAGAATGTAGGCGAGAAAGAATTTAGAGGAGAAAATTAGTACAACAGCCTGTGGGTGCAAAGATGAACTTTATCTTTAAGGGCTGGAGACAAGTGACCCAAGCCGTAACGACTCGTACCTGTGTATGTGGGGTGCCGTCTCTCCTGCTGGGTGTGGAAGTGGGATGTGCGGAATCTGTGTCCCGGCTGTCATGCCTCTAGTTCATTAGCCTGCTTCACCGGGCAGGGGAGAGAACAGAAGCCTCTCCATCGCATTTTTCCTTTCCTCTAACCTCGTAATGTGTACGCAGACACAGACTGACTCGGTTTGTCACTCCTTAGAGTTGTACTTCGTTTATTGTGCCACAGGGGGGCGGAGTTGCCACACCTTCTCTGGGTGGTCAGCATCTAGTTCTTTAAAACTTCAGCTTCACAAATTCTAGGGGCAGCCTCTTCCTGTTCTTTTCTTCCAGGGACACCTGACCCACAACAATGTCTGCCTGTCATCTGTGTTTGTGAGTGAGGACGGCCACTGGAAACTGGGGGGAATGGAGACCGTCTGCACAGTTCCTCAGGCCACACCTGAGGTAAGGCGGGGGACAGGCCCTCCGTGTTACAGGGAACGTGATAGCATTGTAGCGGGTGGTTCGTGCCTCGGTCATCCTAGCTTTGGAGACTCGACTTTTTTGTCAATGCCATAGTCACAGAATTGTAGGAGTTTATTCCTCAGAGGCTTCATTTATTCTTGTCTCCTCGTTTTGTAGCTGAGGAACTCGAGATTGGGGAGTAAAATGGCTTGGTCAGATTGATTTGTAATTAAATGCTCCTCCCTTATATTCTTGTAATACCCTCTATTTAATTACACCACTTAATGTTTAATACTGAAATTACCTTTGTGCGTCTGATTTCTTTACCTGTGTTTGAGCTTCTTGAGGGTGTGAGAGTCTCTCTCACTTATTTTTACATCTCCACCCGGAATAGTGCCTGGCACGCATGAGGTAGTCAAGAAAAGTTCATTTACAAGTGTCCAGGTCATCTGAAGGCCCCCACTGTGGTCTAACAGCCGGAGTTAGGACGTGTGCACCTTAACTCTTCTTATGGGCTGTGTGGCTGCTGCGTCCAGTACCCCTGAATGGCTTTGTCTGACCGGGTTCTACAAATTGCCCTCCTAGGTGGATGAACCTTTCTATTCTGTTTTGTTTCTTGTTTCCATCATTTTGCACATTGCCACTCGACTTGCTCTTTCTTAAAAACAACAACAACAACAACAACCCCAACCCCATGATGACAGCCCTCCGGCAGGGCTGGCCCCCTGGCATACTGACCCAGTCCAGTTCCCTCTGTTCTCTTGTGGGGCCGCCACAAGGGGGCCTTGTTGTATGTGCACCGTCATGGGCTCTCGCTGAGGCCAAATGCTACTTCCCCCTTCCCCCCCAGAGGTGTTCCTCTGATGACGTCTGCCCCAGTTGGTCCCTTTTGTCTCAGAACTTACCTTACATCTCATTAGTGTAACAGCATGTAATTCATTCTTTGGTTTCTCTTCACAATTCTTTACCATGGTATATAAGGCCCTTCACGTCTCTTCCCGAGCCTGCCTTCAACTTGACCTACACTCACAGTCACTGAGCTCCACTCTGGCTCACCCCACTCAGCTGTGCTGTAGGCCGGGTGGTGCCTTTCACCCCCTTCTTCCTTTGTGTGCCTTTCTGTCTCTGGGATGCTTTCTTCTCATAGGCTCTCTGCAGCATGTAGGATGAAGCTGAAGTCTGTGTTCCAGCTCAGTCTGTCTGTGAACCTTCCCCCACCACCCAACCCCCCACCCCCGGTATTCCCTGCCCAACGGAATTAGTCTCTCCTGTGCTTCTACACTGAGCACACATCACAGCAGTTCTTAGTTTCTGTTCTAGGTTGTGAGCACCTGGCCGGCGGCAGGGAATGTATCATATTCCTTTTGTACTCCTAGTGCCCTGAGTCGTGTTTAGGACATAGAAGTGCTTGAAAAATACTCTTTGAATCCGTGAATGAAAGTACTTGTTTGTGGATGTTCTCTCTATAGTTCATAAGGTCCTCAACTTTTATATCGCACGTGGCAGCAAGCCCTAAAATTGACCTGATTCAGCAGGAAGATTATTGATAGATTTGTTCTATGCTAGAAAAGCCTTCTACTTGTTAATAACTCTGCAGGATGCCAAAGAAGTTTCCTAATTACCAATGTAAGGAAAGCAGATGCAGAGGCGCCTCTGAACAGCAGAGGGTGCTTTAACCAGCTGCAGGGGACAGGAAAGGGAACTTAACAGGTATCTTCTACTGAGCCTTGCGCTGTGCCGTGTACTGTATTCACATTGTTTAAGTAGCAAGATTTTAAGTTTATGTATTTAATGTGGCATTGGTTTGAAGGCTTCATTGCTACTTTTTGCATTGCTGGTTGCTTGTGTAACTTTAGTGTGAAAGATTGGTTCACCAAACTTGTGTATGAATTATTTTCCCTAATTTATTTCTCTGTCTAGTTTCTGAGGAGTATTCAGTCAGTAAGAGACCCAGCATCTATCCCTCCTGAAGAGATGGTAAGACGATATACTGCAGCTGTAACGACGGCTTCTTTGTATGAAACTGAAAAGAACCTTTTGTCTGTTTCCCTCTTTCTTGGCTACATTGTGGGTGCCTTGTAATTCCTTTGGCCATGATGGCTTCTGAGCTTAATCTTATCACCACAGCAGGGAGCCTTTTTCTGGACAGTCTGCATACATTTTTGGGTCGTACAGACCCCTGTGTCACCAGTAAATGCCTCAGTGTGAGCAGGGTTGGTGCTTCATCCTCATTTCACAGTCTTCGTACTTTGCTGGAAGCCCTACGAGCTGGGGGGGCAGCAGCCCTCGCCTTCCCTGTGCCTCACCCTAAGTACGCATCTGCCCATCGGTCATTAGGGCTCCAGGGTGCATGCAAGAGTGCTTATTGACGTTAATGATCTTTTCTGACAAAGGTCCATCTACACATTTCTCCCCTAGGTTGATGAACCTTTCAGTTCTGTTTTTGTTTCTTACCTTCACCACCGGCTGCTGGTGAAGAAAGATTATATTTACCAGGAAATGCGAAGGCAGTAGCTCCCTCTAAATTTGTCCTCACAGTTACTGTAAACACACTGCAATCCCCCAAAGACAGTATTTAATGTGCTTTACAGGAAATGCCAATCCAACTATAAACTTGAAAAAAGACCTAAGACTTGAAATAAATCAAGTTGTTCCAGATTGGTACTTTGTGTATGTACTAGTGTTTTTCAGACTGATTTGTGAGTTTTAAATCAGGTTACTGGTCCTGACAATTGAGGGGGGGGAGAGGAATAAAATAGAAAATATCAGTAAGGCTGAGTATTGTTTTATGAAATTTTAGTTTCCATTATGTGTATTTATGTGTGTGTGTGTGTGTGTGTATACTACCACCACTAACAACAATAATAATTTCTAATTTTTTAAAATGTTTTATTTATTTCTGAGAGAGAGAGAGGCAGTGTGAGCAGGGGAGGGTCAGAGAGAGAGGGAGACACAGAATCTGAAACAGGCTCCAGGCTCTGAGCTAGTTGTCAGCACAGAGCCCGACGCGGGGCCAGAACCCACGAACTGTGAGATCATGACCTGAGCCAAAGTCGGACGCTTCACCAACTGAGCCACCCAGGTGCCCCAGTAATAATAATTTCTAAAATGTGGGTTGCAGTCAAAAATACTTTTGAAAGCCACAGGCATATATCACATTTAGGCTCTTTTTCTCTTTTTGCCCTTGTTTGATGTTTTTAAATCTTTGATAAATTGCATTCCCTCATGGCTTTAAGAGCCTGTAAGTGAGTGTGTGGTACTGTATAGTTGGCTTTAGGTATAATAAATGCAAAAATGGGAGAGAATGCTTTAGAGAAAATTTAGATCAGGTTTATAAGGCATGTTCTCTAGGTTTAATGATCTTTACTGCTTTTAGTCCTCAGAATTCACAACTCTGCCAGAGTCACATGGACATGCCCGGGATGCCTTTTCATTTGGGACATTGGTGGAAAGTTTGCTCAGAATCTTAAGTAAACAGGGTGAGTGGAGTTACACTGCTACATCCACAGAATAAGTAGGAAGGCCATTCACAGCCTGTTCTGTGTGGATTCAGAGGACCACGGTCTTTGACCATAGTAAGGAACCTGTTGCTTACCAGATAGCTTGTTTGCAGCAGATCTTGACAGCACTGAGGAAAGAAGCTTTGATTTCTTTCCTTTGCATCATTAAAAGAATTTTAAGTAGGAACCACTTTCTACTTTGTTTATATCACGTGTTATTATCTGATTAATTGGTATTGGTACTTATAAGTCTAAAGATTCTATTCCTTATTGAGTCAGCCAAGTAAATGAATGCTGTTATTGATTTATATGTAATAATCTGAAGAACTGAGGAGGAATTGACACTTTTTATATAATCTAAATCAAGCTTAACATTTCCTTATCTTTATTCTTTCAAAGTCCTTTTGAGTTTTTTCTTCTTAATGTAATTTACTCATTACCTTTTTTCTTTTGTTGCCTCAGAGAGCCCAGGCTCCTGAGTACATTGGTTTCTCCTCTCTGTCGAGTTCTCTGGTGGCGTGCCTGGCAGCCTGCTTCATTCTGCAGCCACCCCAGGCCTTCACTTGTCTACCCGTTAACGGGGCTGGGGGTACATGCTTCGTTAGGCCCCTTACTGGCCTGGGTCACACTTTACCGAAGCTTTGTGCACTTCTAACGCAGCTTCTTTTATCAGCTTCTGCAGCATTCTGAAGTTAACAGTACCATTCAGCTGCTAGCTCTAAATTGTCTCAGCCTAAATACTTGAGAATTAAACCCATAAGGCCATAAGGCATGCCCTGTGGGGAATGAACTCACTACTCCCCTGTGTCTAGGATGGTGGTAATTATGTACCATCCTGTCGAAAATAGAAAATACAGTCATTCAGATAACTTTTCTTGTTCTGTGGGTGAGGAACCCTGGTTGATAAGACCCTCCAGTCAGTCACTCATTAAATCTCCATTAGGCCCGAGCCGAGTTACACCAGCCGTTGGGAAATGAGGGCACAGAGGTGAGGCTCGTGGGGGTGGGGCCGATGTGTTGGCAGATGAATTTTCCACACCTGCCAAGGAGTGTGGCTTCAGGTGAGCTGGAAGCTGTTTAGCAACAGCCAGGGCTTTGTTTGTTTGGGCTTTTTACAGGTTGGTTTTTGCCCTCGTCAGTCTCCAGCTATAGAGGTCCTGAAAGGAGGGAGAAGCTTGGAAACTAACTGTACCTCTGGATTTCAGTTTCAGCGGACGTTATCTCCAGCTTCCAACAGACCTTGCACTCAACCCTGCTGAGTCCCATTCCCACATGTCGGCCGCCGCTCCACACCTTACTGTCCCATGACTTCTTCAGGTGAGGGCACCCGGCGGGCCTCCCCGGCCGCTCGCGGGTGCCGCGTCCCGGTGGTGGGGCTTGGGGGCCTGGATCACACAATCCCTTCTGTTGGCCTAGGAAAGGTCAAGTCATGTCCACATGGAAGGATAGGGGTTGAAAGTGGGTTGTGTCTTAGGTTCTTATCACAGGAAATTCTAGAAATCTTTTAACTGTGGTGAACTCGTGGGTCTAGAAGTTAAAGCCAGATCCTTTAGGAACTATAACAGTGAGGAAGCCAGGCTGTGTCCAGTGGGTGGCACTTGTCAGGTAATCTAGAGACTTAATAAACATGGCCTCTCCTTTCTGCTGCCATTGCGTTCTAGGAGTTTGTTGTTGTTGAAATGTTTTCTTGATGGGAGGTGGGGGGGAAGGAGCTCATTTTTCTTCAGGCAGAAGATTGTCGTCTTTGTTTAGTAATACGTGGTGGAAAAGCACCGAAGTCGATTTAGAGGGAGGGGCACAATATAATGTTAATACTGTCACTGGATTCAGAGATGGTTTTGAGCCTCTCTTTGAGGTTAGTTTTAACTATGTGTCCTCCTTTTCCTCATTTCCATGATCGCAGAACTTCTGCATGGGTTAATTTCACATTTGCAACTTCTAGTAGCAAAATTGAAGTTCTGTCCTTTTGAAAGTAAAGATCCTTATGTGTCTGTGGTCAGATAGCCGCAGACGAGCAGAACGAAGGGAAGGCCAGTGTTCTCCTTCGAGGGGGTGAACTACCGCGGCCATGGGACTAGGGTCCGTGTTATTAAATGGGACAGAGGGGTAGCTTCACTACAATTATTAGGATTTTATTGGTCATTTTTGTTTCAAAGAAACCGTTCAAAACCTTTCCCATTAACAGAGTCTTTTAACCAACGTATTTCTATGTCTTTTTGAATGATTCATGGCAATATCTTATTTACCTTGACACAAAGTCTTCTACAAAGAATCCTTTATAGCAAATAGATTCTCTCCACTATGTAATAAAGAGTTCTTTAGTAAGAATTGTCCTTTTTTTATTTTTTTTTTAATGTTTATTTTTGAGAGAGGGGAGAGAACGCACATGCAAGTGGGAGAGAGACCGAGAGAGGGGGACAGAGGATCCAAAGTGGGCTCTGCACAGACAGCACAGAACCTGATGCAGGGATCAGACCCATGAACCGTGAGATCATGACCTGAGCCGAAGTCAGGCGCTTAACCAACCAAGCTACCCAGGTGCCCCCCTCAAAACTGTGTTTTAAACAGAGACAGGAGAGAAAGCCGGAACACAAAGCAAGACACACACCTCCCCCTTCCTGAAATCTGATGGTTGCGTGTGAGGAGCCGCCCAGGGGGAGACATAAGGGGAACCCAGGCGGGCATCCCTTGCTGAGGCAGCTGAACCAACCTGATTAGACTTCCGTTGTGACATTTGTGCTTTGTTTCTGCTATTAAAGCCAGAGGGAAAGGCGTGTAAGTGTAAGATGTGGAGCCCTGAGCGGCTGGCCGTGTGGTGGGGCTGCATGATGAAGCGTCGGCCCCCGGCCCGGCAGCCTCATCCCACAGGACTCGAGGACATGAGCCACACTACCCCCCATGTGGGCCGTAGCCCCCCACTCTCCTCCCTACCTGACTGAGGAGATGACGCACCGCTTCCGGCAGGAGAAATGGGGAGACTCCCATGACTGGCACCAGACATGCCTATTTCCCAGCCCCTTGCACGGCTCTCACCTCAGCGGAGTGGATTGAGGGGCAGCGGCTGTTTTGCAGTACTTCACTACATTGGCCCCATTTCTGCCAGGATGGCTCTGCTCACCATGTCCTGTGGCAACACGAGTTCCCATGATGTTGGTTATGAAAACCGCCGAGGTGGTGGGCGTCTGTGTGCACACCGTGTGTGCTGAAGCCTGAATCCTCTTCACACATCTCTTTGCTGTTAAAATGCTGGGTGCTCCATGGGCTTGTTCATAGTATTTGTCTCATGAGCAACTTAGTTATAATAGAGTCTTCTTTTTTTAAGAGTTATCTTTTTTACTGTTTATTTATTTGTTTGGAGAGAGAGTGTTTGCGCAGTGGGGAGGGGCAGTGAAGGAGAGAAAATCCCAAGTCTGCTCTGGGCTGCCAGCACAGAGCCCGATACGGGGCTCGATCTCACAAACCATGAGATCGTGACCCTGAGCAGAAATCAAGAATCAGATGCTTAACTGACTGAACCACCCAGGTGCCCCTAGTTCTAATGGGGTCTTCAAATTGGCAGAGGAGAATGTTTCCTTGAATATTTGTATAGCGTGATCTGTGGTTATGGCTTCAGTATTGAACACACCTTCTCTAATTTGTTGTCCTGCATGTTTTTTTTTTCTTTTTGCCATTTAGGAATGATTTTCTAGAAGTTGTGAATTTCTTGAAAAGTTTAACATTGAAGAGTGAAGAGGAAAAAACTGAATTCTTCAAGTAAGTCCAGAGAGTAAAGGCCTTAACATTCAGTAACTTGGGTTAAGCCTGCGTAGTCACTAATCTTCAGAGAGGTGTCCAACATTTACTTTCTTGGACAGTTTTTTGAACATTTCCTGCATGTCAGACTTTCCGCCGGGCCTTGGGATGGATAGTCCTTAAACAGTGACCGGGCTTGCAGCGGGGGCGTCCCAACAACCCAGAGGTCGAGGGCAGAGGCAGTTAGAGAAGCGGTATTGCAGGGAGAAAGGAATGCACATGAAGGCCCAGGGGCACCGCATGCGTGTCTCGTACACCGAACAACAGGCAGCAGGTGAGTCCTGCAGCCCTGCCTGCTTGCAGGTTCCAAGACCACAACATGTGAGAGATGGACACCCTCGGACGGGGCCGTGAGGAGCATTGACACTGTCTGTAAGCAGTGGACGTGGGCTGTGAAATGGCCAAATCTCCCCGGGGACGGCTCGCTGTGTTGCCATGGAAGGCACAGATTTATTTTTTCCGGGACTTAGATCGGTTGGTAGACTGTGGAGGCCTGAAGTGAGGCAGCGATGGTACAAGGAGGAAGACACAGATAAGCACCACTTATAACACTGGCAAGACTGTAGCAGTCATCACCCAGAGCGCTAGGGAATACCTGAGGAGGGGCCTCATGCGTAGGGAATGTGAGGAGCTGGGCATTCAGGGTGTCGGCCTGAAGGGGCCGTGGGACTATAGACAGATAGGCGCACGGGCCTTTGACCAGAGGGCTTGAAGCCCACATGAGACGCGTGCAGCCCATGAGCCAGAGGTGAGTATTGCACTGGCCTGCATTGGTGAGTTTCCCAGAGAAAGCGATAGCATGGGTGGGACGGTGCACCCAAACTAACCCTGGGGCCCCCACCCAGCCTTGTAAGGTGGGTGGCTGAGGAATGAGAGCAGCAGTGGTTGGAGGAAGCTCCGGGAAAGCTGGAAAGGCTGATGTTCCTGGCAGAGTAAAGTTCTGGAAGGTTGGAGGATGACAGTTCAGGTAGGCATCCGGAGAGCACCCCGTCTGAGGAGCTGTTTGAGGGGGTGGGAGCCCAGTCGCAGTGGACTGAGATGAGGTGAGAAAGCAGACTCTGGGGAAGACCTCCTGGAAAGGTTGGAGAAGAGAGAACAGAGAGTAGCTGAAGAAGGGGATGGAGTCGGGAAGGAGTTTTTTGAGGGCAGAAGAGCTGTGAGCACATTTGTGGGCCAGGAGGACCTGGGCTTGCAGAGGAGGAGAGCCCTGCTGCGAGTCTGGAAGGGGCCGGGATGCTGGGGTGACAGCTGTGTGGGGGCGGCCGTCTGTAAGAGGCGGCGGAATGAGCACGGGGGCCGGGGGGGGCGGGGCCCTGTTTGTTCACAGTGGCCTCTCCATGCAGCAGGGGCAGGACTGTCTGTTCAGGGGTCTGTGCAGTGGGCGGTTCCCACTGTCACCCTTCGTACCCATGTGCTCTTGACAGAACGCTTTGACACGTGTGACAAAAAGCCTGAATTTTGTTTACTGTGGAAACTTCAGATAATCTAACATCCTGCATCTTCCATAGCGTGGATGGGACCTTGCGTGCATGCTGCTGGCCTTGTCTCGTGCCCCCTGCATTTTTCTTACATCCCCTGTGCTGACCGTTCACCTTCTCTGGCCACATCTCCCAGTGCCTCCCTCTGACAGAAGTTGGGGAGGGCTGTGTGTGTCTACACTGGACAAGGAAGTGGATACAGTGGCACAGCTGGCTTCCCAGGCTTTTCTTTCCCCTCAGATTCCTGCTGGACAGAGTCAGCTGCTTGTCTGAGGAGTTAATAGCCTCACGGTTGGTGCCTCTTCTACTTAACCAGTTGGTGTTTGCAGAGCCAGTAGCTGTGAAGAGTTTTCTTCCTCATCTGCTTGGCCCCAAGAAAGGTGAGTTTTTTTCAAAGGATTATTAGTAATTAAGGAGTTCGGGCATTTTCAGTCCTTATTTGAGCAGACTGAGATTACTGCATGGTGTAGTTAGAGTATGGCTCTAAAATCAATTATCATTCCCTGAAGTGATTATTTGGACTCAAACTTGGGTACGAGAGCCCACAGGGTAAATAAGGAAGATCGTCTTAGAGAGTCAGATTTGTTATAGAAGATGGCATATTGGAAAAACCATACACAAACATATACGCACATAAACATGTAGGATTAGAGTGTGTAATGCATGTGAAGTTTTCAGATAAGTAATATGTCTTCAGGGGACTTTTGCATTTGCAGTTAGGCCTGAGCCTTCTTTATTTCTTAATTTATTTTTTTAATGTTTATTTTTGAGAAAGCACGCATACAAGTGGGGAGGGACAGAGAGAGAGGGGAATAGAGCATCCGAGGCAGGCTCTGTGCTGACAGCAGAGAGCCCAGTGTGGGGTTTAAACTCACAAACTGTGAGATCATGACCTGTGCTGAAGTCAGAAGCTTAACCAGCTAAGCCACCCAGGTACCCCTTTAATTTTTTTTTAGAGAGTGTGAATGGGGAAGGGGGTGAGGGAGAGAGAGAATCTTAAGCTGGCTTCACGCTCAGTACAGAACAGGGCTCCATCCATGACCCTATGATCATGACCTGAGCTAAAAATCAAGAGGTAGACATTCAACCAACTGAGCCACCCAGGCTCCCCTAGGCCTGTGCCTCCTGACTTCCCAAGAGCAACCCATTTATTTTGTATTTTCAGTGGAAAGACTGAAAAGCAAGGAGATCACTTTCCTACCTGGAGCTTCAGTTTTTTTCTGAATGTAAAATTAAGCTTATTATTCTGATACTCTGTAACTTGATAAATATATAAATAGTAACATACCAGGTTAGAGAATTTATTTTCTTAAAAAGATCTCAATCCAACAAAGCAGCATCATAGGTAACTATTTTACAACGTAGAATTTCCTTACATCCTTCGTTATTGCCTAAAGGTTTTTATTGTTGTTGTTGTTGTTGTTTCAGTTGAATTGTAGCTGACACAGGTTACATAGTTTCAGGTGTGCATTGCTGATTGGACAATCCCTGAATTTTTCTTTCCAGCTCTGTCATCCCTTTACTCAGTAGATGTTAGATGGGGGTGTGCTTCTGAATCACCTGGGGAGCTTTTTGAAAATTTGCCTGTATAGTTGATCTACTGATAGTGTGATAGCCAGGGCAGGACTATACACACACACACACACACACACACACACACACGTAATACATATATATAATACGTGTGTGTGTGTGTGTGTGTGTGTATAAAGGTCCCCAAATGATTGTGACGGGGATCTCTGATCACCACTACCGTAAGTAGCAGGAAGAGAGGACCACCCAGCGTCAAATCCCATTGTGACATTTAACGCCTCCTGGTTTTGCACATGAAATTATAACAAGTTATTGATCTAACCTAGTATATGAAATTCCTCGTTGATTAAACACAAGCATATAAAAAGTTACTGGTTCAGGAGTCTATTTAAATATAAGCTTTCTTTGTTGCAGATTCAGCGTGATACACTATTTCACGAGGCCTCAATGATTTAAGATCATTGAGCCTTGAGTAATTTGGGTCAACCAGAAAGGTTTCCTTTGCTTTGGGGCTTAAGAATTTAGAAGAGCTCTTAGAATATGTGTGAAGGTCTGGGCTCAGTTTCTAACTTACCGTTCATGCTCCTTTCGCTGAAATGACCTTTTGCTTTCTCATGCGGAACCACCTCTGATCGCCGGGTAGACAGCGCGAGGGGAGAAGCGCCTTGCCTGCTGTCACCGGCCCTGTTCAGGTCGCGGGTGATCCCTGTGCTGCTCCAGCTGTTTGAGGTGCATGAGGAGCACGTGCGGATGGTGCTGCTGTCTCACCTCGAGGCCTACGTGGAGCACTTCACTCAGGAGCAGCTGAAGAAAGTCATCCTGCCACAGGTCAGAGGCGGCTGATGGGCCCAGGCCATCCAGAGGACAGCCACAAGGGGGTGGCTGGAGCGCGCGCTGCTAATTTGGGGACTGAAAGGCGGGGGAGGGTTTGCAGCATTGAGATAATAAGTTAGGGGGTCTTGAGGCAGCAAGTCGGGTTGAAAAGCTCCTGGAATGCAAAGGGCTGCAATTCAGACTGAGTTTCCATATCATTCATGTAGGCTAATAGATTAAACTAAGGTGTTTGGTCTTAACTTGGGAAAACCTGTAATTCTGTTTGCTAATTCTTTTTTTTTTTTTTCTTTTTAATTTTGAGAGAGAGCACAAGCAGGGAAGGGGCAGAGAGAGAGGGAGAGAGAATCCTAAGCAGGCTGCGCACCATCAGTGCAAAGCCTGATTTGGGGTTTGAACTCACGAACTGTGAGATCATGACCTGAGCTGAGATTAAGAGTCAGACACTTAACTGAGCCACCCAGGCGTAATTCCTTGGGGAAGAGGAACAAGAATCCTTTGTGGATGTTTGTGACAGAAACTATACGTGTCCATAATTAAATACTACAAATAAATTAAATTATAACCGAGAGGAAGATGAGATTATTCGTATCAGTGGTTTTCAGACTGTTTATCAGCCACTGGGGAACCTGGCAATGAGTCACCCACTCAGGGGGCTTCGGTTTATGTCAGTTTGCCACAGACATAACAGATGATCACAAACTGCACGGCTTAAAGCGGTAGAAATTCTCTCCTGGTTTTGGATGCCAGAAGCCTGAACTCAAGGAGTCAGCCAGTCACACTCTCTCTGGAGGCTCTCGGTAGGGGGTCTGTGGAGGAGCCCTCCGCACCTTCTTCCCAGCTTTCCGGTGGCTCCTGGTGTCCTTGTGAGTCTTGCCTCATAATTGTGTCATGCCAGTCCGCTGCATGGGACCTAGGGCCACTCTAATCCAGTGTGACCTCATTTGAAGGTCACATTCTGAGTCGCTGGGAAATTTTAGGAGACGATATTCCACTCAGTATGCATTCATTCATTCATTCATTTACTTACTTATTTTTAATTTACATCCAAATTAGTTAGCATATAGTGCAACAGTGATTTCAGAAGTAGATTCCTTAATGCCCCTCACCCACTTAGCCCATCCCCCTTCCCACAACTCCTCCAAACCTTCTGTTCTCTATATTTAAGGGTCTCTTATGTTTTGTCCCCCTCCCTGTTTTTATATTATTTTTGCTTCCCTTCCCTTATGTTCATCTGTTTTGTATCTTAAAGTCCTCATGTGAGTGAAGTCATATGATATTTGTCTGACTGACTAATTTCGCTTAACATAATACCCTCCAGTTCCGTCCACGTAGTTGCAAATGGCAAGACTGCATTCTTTTTGCTCACCAAATAACACTCCATTGTATGTAGTACTCACAGCTTCTTTATCCATTCATCTGTCAATGGACATTTGAGCTCTTTCCATACTTTGGCTGTTGTCAGTAGTGCTGCTGTAAACATTGGGGAGCATGTGCCCCTTCAAAACAGCACACCTGTATCCCTTGGATAAACACCTAGTAGTGCAATTGCTGGGTCATAGGGTAGTTTTATTTTTAATTTTTTGAGGAACCTCCATACTGTTTTCGAGCGGCTGCACCAGTGTGTATTCCCACCAGCAGTGCAAAAGAGACCCTCTTTCTCTGTATCCTTGCCAACATCTGCTGTTGCCTGAGTTGTTTATGTTAGCCATTCTGACAGGTGTGAGGTGGTATCTCATTGTGGTTTTGATTTGCATTTTCCTGATGATGAGTGATTTTGAGCAGTTTTTCATGTGTCAGTTGACCATTGGGATGTCTTCTTTGGAGTAATGTCTATTCATGTCTCTGCCCATTTCATCACTGGATTGTTTGTTTTTTGGGTGCTGAGTTTGATAAGTTTAATAGATTTTGGATACTAACCCTTTATCTGATATGTTATTTGCAAATATCTTCTCCCATTCCATTGGTTGCCTCTTAGTTTTGCTGATTGTTTTCCTTTGCTGTGCAGAAGGTTTTTATTTTGATGAGGTCCCAATAGTTCATTTTTGCTTTTGTTTCCCTTGCCTCTGGAGACGTGTTGAGTAAAGTTGCTACGGCCAAGATCAAAGAGGTTTTTGCCTGCTTTCTTCTCTAGGATTTTGATGGCTTCCTGTTTTACTTTTAGGTCCTTCATTCATTTTGAGTTTATTTTTGTGTATGGTGTAAGAAAGGGGTTCAGGTTCATTTTTCTGCATGTCGCTGTCCAGTTTTCCCAGCACTGTTTGCTGGAGAGACTGTCTTTATTCCATTGGATATTCTTTCCTGCTTTGTCAAAGATTAATTGGCCATACGTTTGTAGGTCCATTTTTGGGTTCTCTATTCTGTTCCATTGATCTGAGTGTCTGTTTTTGTGCCAGTATCGTACTGTCTTGATGATTACAGCTTTGTAATACATCTTGAAGTCTGGATTGTGATGCCTCGAGCCTTGGTTTTCAAGGTTGCTTTGGCTATTCAGGGTCTTTTCTGGTTGCATACAATTTTAGGATTGTTTGTTCTAGCTCTGTGAAGAATGCCGGTATTATTTTGATATGGATTGTATTGAATATGTAGATTGCTTTGGGTAGTATTGACATTTTAATAATACTTGTTCTTTCCATCCAAGAGCATGGAATATGTTTCCATTTTTTGTGTCTTCTTCAATTTCTTTCATAAGCCTTCTATAGTTTTCAGTGTATAGATTTTTCACCTCTTTGGTGAGATTTATTCCTAGGTATTTTATGGTGTTTGGTGCAGTTGTAAATGGCATCGATTCCTTGATTTCTCTTTCTGTTGCTTCATTGTTAGTGTATAGGAATGCAACCGATTTCTGTGCATTGATTTTATGTCCTGTGACTTCCTTGAATTCATGGATCAGTTCTAGCAGTTTTTTGGTGGAATCTTTTGGGTTTTCCACATAGAATATCATGTCATCTATGAAGAGTAAAAGTTTGATTTTGTCCTGGCCAATTTAGATGCCTTTTATTTCTTTGTGTTGTCTGATAGCTGAGGCTAAGACTTCTGATTCTATGTTGAATAACGGTGGTGAGAGTGACCATCCATGTCTTGTTCCTGACCTTAGGGGGAAAGCTCTCAGTTTTTCTCCACTGAGGATGATATTAGCGATGGGTCTTTCATATATGGCTTTAAGATCTTGAGGTATGATCCTTCTATCCCTACTTTCTTGAGGGTTTTTATCAAGCAAGAATGCTATATTTTGTCAAATGCTTTCTCTGCGTCTGTTGAGAGGATCATGTGGTTCTTGTCCTTTCTTCTATTGATATGATATATCACATTGATTATTTTGTGGACATGGAACCAGCCCTGCATCCCAGGAATATATCCCACTTGGTCGTGGTGAATAATTCTTTTAATGTATTATTGGATCTGGTTGGCTAGTATCTTGTTGAGGAGTTTGGCATCCATATTCATTAGGAAATGTAATTCTGTAGGTCTGTAGTTCTCCGTTTTAGTGGAGTCTTTGTCTGGTTTTGGAATCGAAGTAATGCTGGCTTCATAGAAAGAGTTTGGAAGTTCCTTTCATTTCCATTTTTTTTGGAACAGCTGCAAGAGAGTAGGTGTTAACTCTTCTTTAAATGTTTGGTAGAGTTCCCCTGGAAAGCCATCTGGCCCTGGACTCTTGTTTTTTGGGAGATTTTTGATTACTAATTGTATTTCTTTACTGGTTATAGGTCTTTTCAAATTTTCTATTTCTTCCTGTTTCAATTTTGGTAGTTTATATATTTTTATGAATTTGTCTGATTTCTTACAGATTGCCTATTTTATTGGTGTATAATTGCTCATAATATTCTCTTAATACTTTTTGTATTTCTGCTGTTTTGTGATTTCTTCTCCTTCATTCTTGATTTTATTTATTTGGATCCTTTTTCTTTTTGACCAAACTGGCTAGGAGCTTATCAATTTTGTTAATTCTTTCAAAGAATCAGCTTCAGGGGCGCTTGTGTGGCCCAGTTGGTTAAGCATCGAACTGCAGCTCAGGTCATGATTTCATGGTTCATGAGTTGGAGCCCCCATGTCTGGCTCTGAGCTTTCAGCACAGAAAGCTTCAGATTCTGTGTCTTCCTCTCTCTCTGCCCCTGTCCTGATCACGCTCCATCTCTGTCTCTCAAAAAATAAATAAATGTCGGGGGGCCTGGGTGGCTCAGTCGGTTGAGAGTCTGACTCTGGCGCAGGTCATGATCTCACGGTTCATGGGTTCGAGCCCCGTGTCGGGCTCTGTGCTGACAGCTAGCTCAGAGCCTAGAGTCTGCTTTGGATTCTGTGTCTCCCTCTCTGACCCTCCCCTGCTCACGCTGTCTCTCTCTCTCTCTCTCAGAAATGAATAAAAACATTAAAAAATTGTTTTAATATAAAATAAAATAAGTAAATAAATAAATGTTAAAATTTAAAAAAAAAAGAGAGAGAGAGAGAACCAGCTTCTGGTTTCATTGATCTGTTCTACAGGGTGTTTTGTTTTGTTTTGTTTCGTTGGTTTTTTTTTTGTTGTTTTGTTTTGATAACACTGATTTCTGCTCTAATCTTTATTATTTCCTGTCTTCTGCTCGTTTTGGGTTTTATTTGCTGTTCTTTTTCCAGCTCTTTAAGGTGTAAGGCTAGGTCATATATCTGAGACCTTTCTTCCTTTAGGAAGGACTGGATTGCTATGTACTTCCCTCTTTTGACTGCCTTTGCTGCGTCCCATACGTTTTGGGCTATGGTGTTATCTTTTTCATTGGCTTCCATGTACTTTTTCATTTCCTCTTTAACTTCTTGGTTAGCCCATTCATTCTTCAGTAGGATGTTCTTTAGTCTTCAAGTACTTGTTATCTTTCCACATTTTTTCTTGTGGTTGATTTTGAGTTTCATAGCATGTGGTCTGAAAATATGCATGGTATGATATCAGTCTTTTTTGTACTTGTTGAGGGCTGATTTGTGTTCCAGTATGTGATCTATTCTGGAGAATGTTCCATGTGCACTGGAGA